GAGAGAGAGGAGCTAGCTGAAACACTGGCCGGGTTAGAAATAACGTCACAGAGTCATACAGCATAGAAAAGGCTCATGGGCCCATCGAGTCTGCACTGATGTAATGACCACTAAAGGCACACTAATCCCAATATTCCGCACTTGTCCCACATGCTTGAATGTTATGATATTTGAAATACTCTTCCAAATTTTTTTTAAAAGTTGTAAGATTTCTGGCCTCCTCTACCTTCCCAGGCAATGCATTCCAGATTCCCACCACCCGCTAAGTGAAAAAGTATTTTCCCAAATTCCCTCTGAATCTCCTGCTCCTTTCCTTAAAACTATGCCCCCTCGTGATTGACCCCTCAACCAAGGTGAAAAGCTGTTCTCTATTCACCCTGTCCATATCCCTCATGCACATTAACCATATTCCACCTCAGTCTTCTCTGCTCTAGAGTAAATAATCCAAGCTTATCTGGTCTCTCCTTATAGCTCAATTTCTCCATCCCAGGCAACATCCTGGTAAACCTTCTCTGTACCCCCTCTAGTTCCATCATATCCTTCCTGTAGTGAAGTGACTAGAATTGCACATAATACTCCAGCTGTGGCCTGACCAACATTCTGTACAATTCCAACATTTCCTCCTCCCTCTTATACTTTATGCCATGACTGATGAAAGCAAGATTTCCACATGCCTTCTTAACTATGTTATTCACAGGCCGACTTCAGGGATCTGTGAACAATAGTCATAGAGTAATACAGCATGGGAACAGCCCCTTTGGCCCAAACTGGTCTACAGTGACCATGGTGCCCAATCACATAGTTCCAATTGCCTGCATTTGATCCAATAACCCCTCTGTTTCTCTAAGCTGCCCAGTGTCCTGCCATTCATTAAATACTCCCTCATCTTGTTTCTTCTTCCAAATGAAAGAGGTGGTCGGGGGAAGGGAATCTTCGTAAAACAATAATTGGGGCAAGAATCAACAGTCGCATTGCTTGCCCAGCCTTGGGCTGATTGGTTCTGTCAGGCCATTGGAGGGCAGTAACAAGCCATCCACTCAGCTGTGGGACTGGAGTCACACATACAAATGAACAAGATGGGTTTTGTTTTGGTGGGGGGGTGGCAACAATAGTTGCAATGGCTGCCATTCCTGAGGGGAGCTTGATATCCCAGGCTTATGAATTTAAATGATGTGATTTGAACCCAGATCCTCAAAACAGTTGATTAGGCCCCTGGGTTACTGGTGCCCTGCTGTTACCATGGCACCACTGTCTCCTCAAAAGGAGAAAGAGGTTATCCTACATTAGAAATGGGAATACTCTTTGAAGCTCTTAAAGAGTTTCATCGAATTAAATAAAAGTGAGCCAGCCTTTTGCAAGGAGTGCTGACAAAAATGAACACAAAATATAAATGAATAAAATTCAAGCCAAAAGTCACTTTAGAGATTAATAACGCACACCAGTATTGGCAGTGCCCATCAGAGCACTGGGGCACATTGCTTTGGGGCGCACCACATCTGCAGAGAATGCCACACCATGTTGATAAGGTTGAGGCAGCGGAGGTAGGCAGTATCAGACTACCAGGGACCCCCTGTGCTGAGCATGTTGGCACAGAAAAGCAATTTATGCAAGGTGTCACATGTTGCCAAGGCAGGAAAAAGACACGCAGGCACCATGTACAGTTCAATAGAGCAGAGCCATTCTTGGACACAAGCGGTGTGGCTTCATGGAAGCTGGGCCCCTGCTGGAAGGAATAGATTGCCACATGGTGCAATCAATAAGGGGGCATGATTTTGGTGCAGGGGCCAAAAGTGGAAAGTCACCAGGTGGGTATAAAGGAACACCCAGTAGGTGACAACGCCCTGGAAATGGGAGACTCAGTTTCTCAGCAGGAAGCCAATACTGCTTGTGGGATCTTCCTGAAAGGCAATGTGAAAGGGATCAAAACACCCCACCGAAGGAGGTTTATGACCATATTCCTCTGTCAGGAATATCTCTGAGTCTCTTTGCTGGGATTGACTCCTCTCTCTCTCTCCATTTCCTGGGATTGACTCTGCTTCTCTTTCTCCCTCTGCTGGGATTGACTATGGGAAGCTCCGTGTCTCCACTGGGACTGAGTCTGGGTCTCTCCCTGCGCCTGTTAAGGGGGCGGGGTTCTGATCTGCGGTATGCGCACGCGCGCGACAGGCTAGCGCCTGTTAGGAGGCGGGTGGTGGAGGGGGAGGGATACGCTGAGAAATTTGAAGGAGTTGGTGGAGAGAGAGGTGAAAGGTGGGTGAGAGATTGGCAGAGAACAGGGCTGGTACTCGGCTGGGCAGTGCCCATCGGCGGTTGGGGAATGTTGAAATCTGTTGTTGATGGGAACGGGTTTCCGCCGCCTTGTGTTTTCACTTCAATCCTGCGCGAGGAGCGGGGACCCCTTCCAGCAGCTTCTCCTACCCCCCAACCCCTATCCTCTCTCCCCCACCCCCTTTCCCTAA